AGTGTATGGTTTTTTGAAATTAGTGTTAAAATATTACGATAGATGGCAGTATTATCAATTTTATGAAAATTAACTTATTAAAAAAGGTTACATACTGTACTTATGAACGAATGTAAAATTGATGTAAAGCATACATTCCTAGGTCAAAAATATTAGACCGTCCTCATCACATCAACATGCAGGATGCAAACTCTGTTTACGATAGAGTAATTGTGCGCATTATGCCACATTATCCTCATCGATCATCCGTTTTCGCGTGATATAGCCATTTTTTAGCAACTTCATTCCACCGGAATTTTTGCGGAATTGAGCATCGGCATGGCAAGTCGTAACTCGCAGTTTATGACGCAACTTAGTGAATTAACGAACGGCTGCGGAATATAAATAGGTTCTGTAATATAGTCTTCATTGCGGAGGGTTAGTGATCCGCTCTGCGACGTTTAATTTTACTGAATATTTACTGTTTGTTTCTTTATTAAATGTTATGTTCGTTATGTAGAAATCATCTGTAAATATGTGACCGTAAACCTTTTAGGTCCCTAATGTTTAGCCAGTAGCCCATTTAAAGGCTAAGAGCGTAAGGGTGGGTCCCTACAGAACTAGCAAGACAGATAAAAAAGTTATTGCTTTTTTTATAAAAAAAGGTAATATACTTTTAACGTGCTGTTTTTCATTTACTACAATTAGATGCGTGAAGATAGAAAGAAACAAATTTATTAACTATTACAAGGAAAATATCGAGAAAGGAGATTACTGTCGGGTATTTATAAAATAATGGAGGTTTTATAAATTCTATATCTAATCTAGTTAAGTTCTGTGACGGAGCAATATATATTATGTTGACACTTGAGACGTACCCCAAGGGCGCGGTCTGCGGAACTGAACTTAGTCAATTATTTCCCAAAGCAAGCCTTTGATGGAAATTTAATATTGAACCTGCAAATTTCGCTCCTGAACCAACTTATAAAAAATGTTTTCTTTTATTGTATGTTCTTACAAAAACAAAGTCTTGATCTGTTCCAATTTCCTTTCAGATCGTACTCTTGGGTCCAAACCGTTTACCAACAATATTCAAAACAAATGAAATCTTTTCATAGTTTCGTTTAGTTAAAATTGCATTTGTTCGTATGAAATTGCATTCGAAATATGAAATGAAAATTCTCGCGGGAAAGCGCGACGATTTCATGTTGAAATTGTTTTATCAGATTTAATTTTAAGTTTTATTTCAACATATATGATGTATATGTAAATTAAGTATAAGTAAGGAATGTTTTCATGAAGTTTTATGACAGTTTAAAGCCAGATATTGGTTAGATTCCTTGCTTTTCCATTATTAAGCGAAAGTTGCGTGACATAAACCGATTAAACGATCGCATCGAAACCAATTTAATTAAAATAATACACTGACATAAAACGACAACGGCAGCAACTGAATACCTATTGTATAGTTTACGTAAACTGATAAATTTTTTTTTTTTACTTTTAATTTTGAAACTAATTTATTCTTTGTCTTCTGCACGTAAAATTATTATTATTTATTTAAACTTTGTTTACATTAAACTAACACTGAAACATGTTGTGAAACATCAAACAATGTAAGCATTAGTTGTACTCATATGCTTGTAATATCGTGTTTGCTTATAAAATACAATATTTGCAGTGATCCGCGCCGTGTGCCGACGTATCGCCTACATCAGTGTGTGTACAAACAGCGGCACGAGTTATTATCATAGCGGGGAGAGTTATTATTTGCTAATCGTTGATAGTTAAATACTTGAAGGCTTAGTAAATAGCATATTCGGCACTGGTCCTTTACAATGACTTTTCTAGCTGTATTTAGCTAGATTTATAAGAAATGTTACGCTACGCTTACGTTACCTAAACATACTTTAACTGTGAATCAGTCAGATTCAATTGAAAATTCAATCCAGAAAAGGAGCACAAAGATGTAAATCGTTTAGGAAAATGTATATACAAGTAAGTCAGTATTTAGCGGTGTGCATAATTAAAAGTCGCGTTATCTGTGTAATGAGGTCCCGGGGGCGAGGGGCGAGGGGGTGGGGCGGGGAGGGAACACTCCCGGATTATTTAATACGACGCACAGGTCCCGGGGAATCTTCCAGAGGACGCCTCCCCTTCGCGCCCGCGCCCCGCCACTGAAATATGTCCGAGCAAGGCCTCCAAGTATCCCCGAGCAGTCTTGATAAATTCTTTCTCTCGCCCTTTTATTCTTCTTACTTTGTTTTATTTTTAAATATCTCGAAATTACCGTTAGTGAGATTGCTACGGAGATGAATTCTCTTATATTTTTAATTCACTTTCCTTGATTTAAGTTGACAATCGAGGATTAAGATATACCGTTTATATGTAGCTATACTTAGTTACTTATAACATAAATAAATGTATAAAAACTAAATAGAAAAATAAATTGTAATGGTTGATATCAGACGATTAATTTATTGGCTAGTTCAATGAACTGACTTTAAATGGAAAAATTGCTGACACATAATCTATGTGATGTTATTTGTCGTTTGTTAAATCGTCTGTTTGATTTATTTGCTTACAAAACTTTAAAGGTATTATAGTCATAGGTCTTTTAAAGTAAGGTTTTGTAGTTTTTATAACATTTAAACTATCCCCATACAAAAATATCTACGGCTAAATACTATTAGGTGTAGTTAATATTTAAATATCTTAAAATGTGTGTTAAAACATGTTCTGTTAACTTACGGGACAGCCTCATTGCTTAGATCGCGTTGGTAACTTGAAGTTTTCTTAAAACTTTTATTTTCATCCGCTAAACATTGATACTTTATAAGTTTGCAACCTTATTATTATTGAATTACAATACATTTTATAACAAAATCAATTTTAAACACATTTTAAATAAAAGTTTAAAAATCAAATCGTTTTAACACAATATTTTTAATTACTTATTTCCCAAACAACACTGTAATACACGTAATTACTGTTCGTAATTAATCTTCAAACACACACAAGTTCAAAACCTTCATAACTTTTCGCTACGAAAGCTCAAAGTGTATTAAGTGAAGCGTAGCTTTCGCGCTACGGTAACCGCTACGAAGCAAGGTGTAACTCTACGAACTTAGGGCTGTGGGGTTTGTAGTCCTGCACGGGACTGGCAGCGGGTCTGGGGCCTCGCCGCTCAATTAGGCGGCTCCGGTCCCAGCCCTAGGTCACGCGATCGACTCTCACGGAATTTCATTTTAACAGACTGTCGTAAAAAAACGTAATTCCTTTACGGTGATGTATTAATGCAGTTGCGGTTTCTGATTTAGTTTTTTGTTTGGTATTTTTGTTGTCTCTTGAAATTGTTCGGTGACACGCGAATGGTATTTTGTTATGTCTTTTATGTTTTACGTTTCCTAAACATCTTTTTAATTCAGCTAAATGGAATAAAGGGCATGTAACAGATTTTTGAACAAAGGTTTTTTATTCGAAAACAGATACGTTTTAAGTTTCGGGGTTAGGAATTTTAATGTTATGTCAATTCAAGATTAAGTACTAATGCTGTTGTCTTTTGTTTCGAAGTTTGTCCATACGAGTCCAAATAACGAACACCGCACAAGGCAGCTGTTTAATAAGCGGTGACCTTTAAAAGATGACCTGTATCTTTGTGTTTAACCTTTGACATCTCTATTATTAAATACGTTTTCCGACAAGGACGTTACTTCAATTAAAAATTTGCTCAGGATCGCAGATCAAAGGATTTCAAGTAATTTCCAGGTTAAATAAAAGTCCGCCATGTCAAAAATGTCGCCTCCGGGGTAAGGCGGCTACAGGTCTCAAACATACGACAGGCTCGGGGGCAGATGATAAAGCTGCTCACATACAGTGACTGCTGCGATTTAGAGGCGATTCACTTCCTATTTAAGCCGGCTGTATGGAGAACTAGTTCCAAACTCTCCTGGCGAATATAGAAGAAGCGATGAACTATATATCAGACTATTCCTTTCACTGTATACATTTTATTTCTTCGCTTTGTAAATATATAACGATTGTTATCTGTGCTATAAATAGTTGACTATGAACGACCGCCCTAATTTCAAAAGCTTTAAACGCTGTTTGTAATATTTGTGTTACATTTAATTACCTTTGGCCGCTCTGTGTGAGGTTCGGGTTATTTTGGAGCGGAGGCGTGGTGGGAGTGTTCATTTAACTTTCATTTTGTTACATGTTTTGGGATTAACGTTAAACAAATAACATACAAACAAACACAAGGTAAATGAGAATTTGCTTAAAAAGGCAGTGAATTCAAACATAACGGATGATGGAGATGTATATGTACATACTGTGCCGAAACTCCGTAGGTAAAAGGGCAGATAGATGAAAGTGAAGATGGAAATTGCTTTAAAATTTAATACTCGTCAATTCTATTTAGCAGTAAGTAATTGTAGTTTCACTCTAATCTCTTAGACTTTAAAATCTACCCTATGATGTCGAATCAAATATTGTTTTTGCATGAAAAATGATGCAGTATGTTCTTATCTAATTTAACTCCTTCACAATACAGAAGCTATTCAGAATAAGAGTGGAGGCGTGTCGAATGTTCCCTATCCTACCTTCATGATTTGAACGTGTTATTGGCTGTCGCTGTGGAATAGGAAATGCGAAACGAAAGTTGAGATGCGTCGCGATGCTGTTTTATTTGCATAAAGATATTGCATTTATTTTCCCTTCTTTACTATAAAATTGGAGTTTTATAAGTCGATCATCAAAGCTTTAGTAGCTTATATCTATTTAGATTTTTCTACATTCGTTGAGGTCAAATTGCGGGATAGTTTTTTTATCCCTCAGCTTCAGTCCTAATTGTTACTTTTAAACTAGGCTTACCAAATTGTTAGTTTACTTACTAATCTAATAGTAATTTTTATAGCATATATGTCCCTCAATTGTCAGGCATTTCTAGAAGTCAATAAAGAAGAAATTAAAAAGGTATAGTTAAATTAAAAAGAAGTAAGCGGTTTTTATATATTTATTTATTTACTACTTATTCGATATCACTAACCAAAAAAAAATATCAGTCTTAGTAAAATGTTCAAGCAACATGTAATTAGCTATAACTGCCTATAGATTTGTTAACAAGTTTATTTGGTTTTAAATTCGTAAAAGAAATTTTGCTGTGACGGCCCTTAATTTATAATATCAGCTATAGAGAGTATAAAAATCCGTAAGCAAAGGATTATTGAAAACTAAACGGAATATTAATCTCGTTACAAACGCTGGGTAGTAACTGAACTATTGAACTGATCAGTTAAAACTGCGTGTGTAGGCAAGATTTCAACTGAGTATTCCGACTGATAGCTAAATTTTGTCTACACATGCACAGTTTTAATTATTGATTCGTCCTTCAATTAAAACTGTCAGAACTGAACACACTAAAATCGAAGATTGAACACAATTATTTAAGGATATACATATAATATAGAAAACAATGACTATGTAAATTTCTTTTTATTATTAATATTATACTCAGCCAGTAATGTCAACATTTATTGACATAATTCGTGAGAGAAATATCTTATTAATTCTTTTTTCAACACGTATTTGATCAGTAGTTCATAAGAAATTTTATATAAGCGCACTGAACTTATTTTTTTTTCATGTATTACTTCTTTATTATATTATAGGGATATTAAAGAGATCATTATGCTATAAAATATCTAACAACTACATTTAAAACTTAATTATTTTTCAATCACAATCGAGTTTCAATTTTCTTAACATGATAAAGAATGTGACATAACTAGGCGACATTTTGCGATAATGTTTGTCCGTAAACTTTAAAATAAAAAATAAAACTTAATATTTTCGATGTCCATATTGTAGGTGAATGTTCAGTATGAAGATAGTTCGCTTATTGATAAGAGTGCGTAGTGCGCTGGTCTCCGGCGATTAGAGGTCACGTACCGCTGCTATCTTCTCTCTGCAACAAAATAAACTGCATATTAAGTGTATGCAAAAACTAGTTATGTTGATATCTTGGACAATTTTTGACACGTATTAAAAAGCGCTCTGTAATAAACAACTACAATCTAATAATCTATTTAGTTAGTTAGGTATTTAGGTAACTGCTAAAGAGTTTTTCATGTGTAGAGCGACAATCGTTGTGTTCCAATTTTAAAATATTTGCACATTTTGAAACTTTTCTTGATTTCAAAATTTGAAAATCGAACTTTTATCGAATCGGAATTCCCGTTTTCGGTTCTTCGGTTACATCAATTTCTCAAATGTCAGAGTGATGGGGGTCGAGAGGTGGGGGGAGGGTGGTAAGTGCATCGAACTGGCAGCCGGAGTGCGGGCTAAGTTTTTAAATTATCGATACAGTGTCGCGGCCACTTCCGGACCTAACTTTTCCTTTTACCAGCTATGGCCCGGCTGTTAGATTTTTAACGCTTTTCGAACAATATCGATTACGAGTGAGTTATTTATTTTACTTTCTAGACTAGTTAGTTCACTTGAAGTTATTTGGCATAAATCGTTGTTACTATTTTAATAAACCGATCGTTTTAAATAATTTCCTTTTATTTTTTTATCACATGCATACAATTCTATTAATCATATAAAATTGTAATACTGATAATGTAATTACTCAAACAATTGCGAGCGTCAACAGTGAAAACGGAACGTTAAATAATAAATTGATTACTGTACGAGTACGTTTACATGGATTTTATGACATTATGATATTAATTCAATCAGAATAAAAGTAAATACATTTTTAACTTTATTTGGATGTCGAATATCATAGCTGCATCGAATCAACCATGACTCCGTCCACGCGAAATTAAAAAAATACTTTAATAGTAGTCTTTGTGTTCTTGTATGTTACATTATGTTGTATATCTGAGTTGTCTTGGAGATACGCAGTAAAAACATCCATCCAAACTGTCGCATTTATAACATTGGTAAAATTATTTCGATCTATATACCGAAGTGCCTATAATATGTAATTCTCTATAATGATTTCAGAGTTTCTGAATATTACTACGAAAATCTTGCAAACTAACTAGTGGGTTATAAATAGGGCTGTTGTTCCCCGAACGGGGCCTCCATTTACTTGGTAATTAGTTATAGAGCGGGTTACGAGCGCCGAAATGTCGTGACAGCTTCGTAATTTCAACGCTCGACGTCGGCGGGCCGCACCGCGCCAGCCCCGCGCCGTCCCCGGCCCGGCACCGGCCCGCCACCGGCCCGCGTGCCCCTAATTAAGCCTTGTTGACAACCTCACGGGACGGATACGACACGAGATAACAAAGATATTACCTAAACAGCCATCTGATCTAACTTTTGATGATTTTAGATAAATTTTCTTTTTTTTAGACATGGCCGTTAGGTAAACTACACTTCCGCTAAATGGCATATTTTGCTACAAGTATAGTTATCATATATTTGAGATCAGAAGAATACACGTATTGTCCATATAGTTGTCCATATAGTTACTGTTCGACAATAATTCATGCATATTAGTGACGTCATAGCTGGTAAATATCAGACCGAAAACGCTATTAGAAAGTGTATCGACTGGTATAATGCGTGTTGGCGCACGCACGAGCTGCCACTCCGCTGCCATCGGCTGCTACGTCGCTGATTGATTGATGTAATGGAAGTTGATTGAGCAAACTTTATAAAATTATACAGACAGTGGGAAATCCGCTTTATATATTAAAATGAAGTGCAGTAGATGTTTGTTTAGAGCACATGATGGTTTACATTGTATAATTTTTTTTAGTCGAATGCAACTGAGTCGTATCGTACTCGTGTCGTGAGGTTATAACGAGACTTTTGGTCCGTGAGTGGCGCGTTATGAAGGGTAACATGCTTTAACAAGTCCCAGTTGATTGTGACCCAGTAATTTCGTGTATTAACGCAAAGAGCTTCCGAAACGGGCATGTCTGCGTTCGAGCGGCCGCTTGCTCCTAAATCAAGGCAGCAGGAAATTAAATTCGAGCATCGCAACATGATGCTTCGTTAATGTTGACGGACAAGACATAACTAGCTAATCATTTACCCTGATATTATTGTTTATTTTCGTTTTATTACGATTTTAAAATTATCCCTAACTATTTGTATGTGGTCTTTAACGATTCTTGATGTTAATTCTTGTATGTACACCTGTGGTTTACCCGCTATCAGACGATGTAGTTTCTGGCGGGCTCCCGGTTCCCGAGGGCGAAGGGCCAGGCTTTTGCACGGCGTGCGGCGGCCACGTTGCCGTTGAGGAGCGCCACCACGTCGTCGAGGTAGCGAAGCGCACGAGACTCCGCAGCCAGCAGCCGTGCCGCCGCCGCGCACCGCCGCGCCCTCGCGCTCTCCGCCTGACAACAAAACTGCCTTACTACACCTCTAAATGTAATGTTAATCTTGCTGTGCTACGTCACTTATACCAATTAAAACTATGGACATTTTATCTTGTTAATTACTATATTCGCAATATTCGTATTAACAGAATGTAGCAAAAACAGAAGACAAAAGTCAATGATTTGGGTAAAAAGGGCGATACGAATAGCTTACTTTATACATGTTTTAAATTATTTAACGAATATATACAAATTTAAATTTGTAGAAAAGGTTTTTAATAAGGTGTTCCATGTTTAAATGGATATCTGTAATTTCTGTCTACATTTCAAGCGTTATTGCATCGTAATGCATTGGAGGATACGCTAGTAGTATAGTGCATATAGTACACGACCTTCTCAGTTCAATCAAAACGGTTCACGTTGATGTAATTCTGCATTTAAATTGAATTACAATAGCAGGTTCTCGTGCGAGTGGTGTGCGTGCCGCTGAAGACCTACACCGCTGCTACATTTGTACATCGTGTTTATATTATCTTTATGTCTACTTTATTTAATTCTGAATACTTAGTTACATACAGATATACAATAAAAAAATACTATTTGTACATGACGAGTATTTAATACTAAATTTAAAATTCTATTGTCATGATTAAAAATGTCTGAAATTAGTGAATTTATTTTTGAGCTGGTTAATGCGCAATGAGTGCCAGATGGACGGACAACATTTCATTTCCGCGAGTGGGCAGTGTGCAGTGGGCAGTGTGCAGTGGGCAGTGTGCAGTGGCGAGTAGGCAGTGGGCCGTATTACCGCCCATGCTACGCTTTGTGCTGCCACTTTTTGTTATCACAGAACAAAAGACAACTCTTACGTTACTACTCGAAGCAAGGAACAGGATTCCTCAAGTTTTCTTTTATAAAAAAACTTTAACTGAAACTTTTGCTTACTCTTCACTTTGAATACACTACGTCTTAAAATAGAAAAGTTTTAGTGTCTAAATTAATACTGATGGCATGTTACTTGTATTTGAATGTAATGAATACACTAAAAAAATCTTTCACCATTAAAAATCTATAATATCACTGATTGACAGGCCACTTATTACTAAAAAAATACTTAGTTATTTATACTTTGAAATGTTACAAAAACGTAGTGATGTTTGAAGTAGCTATAAAGGGTTAAGCAGTGTGAGGGAAAAACACATCCGGTCGTTCCTGCTCGCCGCGGACGAGGTTACATTCTACTGATATGTGTGTAGATACACCACACATCAAAGCTTTTTTGAGACTGGAAATAACTTTATTTGTATTTCTACTTTAGGCTCAAGCATTTATCGCTGATACTTATTATGTTGTTGTAAATTATGTTAATGAAAGCCCCTTGGTTTTGACTCATTGTCTTCATCTAGTAAATTGATGTCTCTAATATCTTGTTAGTACAGACATTTAAATTGTGTCCTCGTTTTTTTGTCGATTTATTGTCACTGCAACGTTCATGAGATTCACGCGGCGGTCGTGTATGAATTAACAATATCACCATAAATATTTATGCGATCCTCGGCATAAATTAACCGGAATCGATTTTTGGTCAAAGTTTTGGTATACGCCGGACACCGCACCGCTTCTGCGGTTAATTTTAGAATACAGAATTTATTACCCATTTGTTTACTGTTGGAAATCATGCTGGGTACTTCAGACATCGGATGCGAAGGCAAATAAGGCTTTTATGTAAGTAACTAAAATAAGACTACATGTTGAGTAGAGACAGACTAGTTTTTACGATTGACTAAATTGTCACAGACTAAAGGATAACGGTAGAAGTACATCGATCATCAGAGTCAGACACTATTGAATGTAGAATTAAGCGATAGAAGAAAACAAAAGCTAGCAACAGAATAGTTATTGAAAAATAGAAGAAAAGCCAAGTTCTTTTATGACAAAGTTAATTTTCATTTCAAAGAAACTTTTCTAACTGATCAGAAATGTATAACACTATGGCATGTAGCGTCATACAACAGTAGTTATCCTACTAATATTATAAATGCAAATGTTGATATGGATGTTGCGTCTATATTTAGAAGAACTAAACAGAAATTTGGCATAAATGTATATCATAGTCTGGGAGAGCGCATAGTCTAAGTTTTTTTTAATATCGCGCAGACAGGGTCGGGGGCGACGGCTAGTATGTTATAAAAATAATCTGTTGTAGTTCGAATTCTTAACAGAATTAAATGAGTAAAGAGGAAAAACGTTACGTTAATTAAAGACTCGTAAAATATGATTAAATGTGCTCTGCAAATGGTTCGTTAACTGCTTGTTGTGGTTCGCTGTACTTAGTTAATGTTGGACATAATTATTTTAATTAATGTGTTATTTTGTTATTGCAGTGAAATCGGCTTTCCGAGTGTAATTTGCTAAAATAGTTTTCTCTAATAAATACCAAATTACTTAATGATTGATTTTGTTTTGATGTTATTTTCATATTGAAAAATATTATTGTCATTTTTTAATTCCAAATTATGTTACTTTTGAATTTAAATAAATCGTATATTTATTATGTGATGTTTACAAACAAAACTGTTATTATAATTAAGGCCTTGCTTATCTCTACAGTGAGTAATTCTCAGTTATTTGTTGTACGATAAGCGTTCTTATCAAAACGTTATCACTGAATAAATTAAAACACTATTGTATTGTAAGTACAATTGAATTAAAACATCGTTTTCTTTATCTATTTTGAATTACAGAATATCAAACAGTGATAATATTTCTTTAAAAATATGGTTTTAAAACACTGCAATACCAAAATAGGATTTTAACATTTTTGTAGATTTAGACCAAAATAAACTTAGTGAAAACTAAAATAGCGCTTAAAAATGATACGTTGCCACCTGGTTTATTATTATATCGTATTTTTAATAAGAGTGTCACCCTAGGAGTTAACATCTATCGTTGTACTTAATTGCGCTGCTGTTTTTTTTTAATTAAAAATCAAAACACGTAGAGAAAAAAACGGAAGTCGCTTGATAAGCTGGTTTGATTTTTGTTACCATCAATTAAGTTAAATGAATGTAAATTGAATTACGAACCACATCAAAATGTTACATGTATAAAGTCCATTTTATTACTCGTATATTGTAGGTTGTAATATAATATAAAAAATTCTACTAACCAGACTGCGAATTAAATTACCAATTAGTGAAATTTTCTAACGGTTTTATTGCACCCCTACCTCACTGCAATGCTGCATCCATTGGTTGTTCACGCATCGCGTATTCACCAAGTTTTCATTTCACGCGCATCGGGCAAGTCACGCAACACAAATTCCAACTGATTCTGACACATAAACAAGTATTCCGCCAATTATTTCTAGATGCATTAGCGCAACGTGTACCGTTACCAAAAAACTGAGAAGCTTGTTCGCGTTAATGATGGGTGGTGTGCGTTGTCGGTGACGGGAAGTGTGCTATGGGAGCGTGCGTGTGGCAGAGACGCCAGCATCGGTACCAACGCGTCAGAGGTCGCGGCGGGCCGTGCGCCGGGCGAGCACCTGCATGTCCTCGTGGATGCCCGCCAGCTCCTCGTGCAGGCTGCGGGACTCCGCTAGCAGCGCGTCCAGACGCCGCGCCGCCCCGGACAGGCCGCATTCTTCCGCCACATCCTGCTCGTCCTCCTCCACCGACAGGGCCAACTTGCCCATCCTCTCCCTCTCCATCGCCTCCTTCATATCTCCCCCTCGCTTTCTGAACTCCCGGAGGAGATCTCTTCTGATACCCCCCGCCTTCTCCTCCTCTTCTGCCTCCTTTAACTCGTCGGCTAGAGATCTTTCGGATTTTATCGATTGCTGCTCGTTTGATTTCTGGTCTCGATCTTTGGATTCAGAGAGGCGTGGTTCCGGCGTGCTCGGGGTCGATACCTGCGTGTTCGGGGACAGCAGAGACCTCTGTAGGAATCGCCTGGTGTCATCATCGAAGGGTCGCGCAAGGCCGCGTCGCGGTGTCGGCCTCACTATCGCCTCTAACGCGTCTCTACCGGGGTCTTCCGGTCTCAAAAGTTCCAAGATTTTCTGTCGCGGTGGAGATAGAGTTGAGTAAACGTCATATTTGGACACGAGTTTACCTTTGTCGGGGGAGGTATTGACATCACCGGTGGGGGAGTACGCGCACAAGTTTTCGTTCAACATTCGGTAGTTGCGGATTTTGACGTTTCCCTCGGGAGGCAGGGTGATGGCGGGACAGTCCTCCGGCGCCGGCTCGACGATCTCGATGGCCTGCAGTGCGGCGTCGGCGGTGACGCGGGGCTGCGTAAAGAGATTCATGACACACTCGGCCAGCGCTGGCGGCGAGCGCGGGCGGCGAAAGCTGGCGGCGGGCGCGGGCGCACTTAACGAGGCACGAGACGCAACTCCCGACGAGCGGTAAGGGTGTCTTGACACAAACGATTTGATTGATATGGACAAAACAATGGCACCGTTTTCGGCAAACGGAATGCGATTTCTAAACAATGAGCACTGCGTGACCGATTACACTGGCACATGTGATAATATCCGCGCCACTGGCACTAAAGTCGCTCGCTACATCACTAATAACTTTCACAACAATAACAAATCGATAATTAGGTATTTAAGCAACTGAGTGGTGGGAGCGTCGATTAGGTAATGGAGTGAGCTGTGTCGGGTGTCATGTATGGCGGGGTTCGAGGGCGCTAACAATGAATTGGCGCCAATTATAACTGCACGCTGCACCGTGCACCGTGCGGCGTGCGGCGTGCGGCGCGTGCGTGCGTGCAGCGGTATGGCGGCGAGGCGGGCGCGCGCACTACTGGCCGCGCGTCGTTCGTGCTCGCGCTAATCCAATTTGAATCATGTCCATCTGCCGCGACTATGTTCACTCTATACTGTATGTTTTTTGTACATCTTATTCTCACAGTTTTTTTATTCTTTTGTTTTATTAGTTACGTATAAATATTGTACAACTGTTTGTATGTGCTTCTATAAGCACTTCCATATATTTTTTAAGAAAATGATATAAAACGACATCTACAATAAAAGGTTCTTTGCAAGGTGCATGCGCAGGTGCTATAGAATACTAACGGGCACAGCAGATGTCATTCCCGGTGGTTCGTTTGCCTCTTTTAAAAATGTTTTAGCTCTAATATGTAAAAAGTTAAGCGATAAGCGAATCTTAACACCAATAAATGCATCACATAATACTTGATAACATGGTTTCTTTTTTACAAGTTATCTAACCGTATTTGATGTAGATCACGACCTGCAGACAGACAAAACAATCGACATTCGTTACAATAATTATGACGAAGCAGACACTGATATCTAGGGCTGTCAACTTTAAGAAGCGTAGACTCTGACACCTGAAGGTTTATAACAATCAGTGACACGACAATCCCTGACTCACTTATATGAAATGCCATCCTTAGTCGACGAACGAAATTTAGTACATTGTTCCACTAACCGAAGAGTGATTTGAAACTCATAGTCCGAATATGTAAATCCTTATTTGCAGGTCTTGTCCCAACCCTAGTGGTAGCCCTTATAGCACCTAGTCCATAGCGATAATCGGCTTGCGACGCGCCTCCGCGACTGCTTGATGTTACATTTGTTATGATGTCAAGTATTAGTAAATATTAATATGTATTTGGATTAATTTACCATCTTGTTTCATATCTTCTTTGTTTATCCTCATACAAAATATTTAAATTAAAATTTCAAGCATATAATTACGATGTTTCTTATTTCGTATCGTATCTCGTATTCATTTGTTTCGCGCCTAAAATCTTTCTAATTTGTTTCGTCTTTGTGGTCGTCGGTGGCCAGTGTCACATAAAAAAAAACTAATATACAAATATCGTTCTTAAAAGCATTTTAATATTTTAGATTAATACTCTTTTATGTTTTAAGTAATAAAATTATTACGCAAATGGTGCGCCTAATCCGTTAGCGCCATCTATTGGTCGATATTGACTAACAAGTATTAAGACAATAAAAAAACAAATGCAGGTTATACGGACAATGGTAGCTTGTTTCTTAAACCATAGTTGTGTAATCTTGTGTAAACGAGCGTGCTAAGTCGAGCCGAGTTTGACCTTTTTAGTAGATACTTTTTTGTCTCCAGCAGGTTTTATTATGTATTAACTGCCGCTAAGTGGCAAAAACTTATTCATAATCCAGTGTTAATTATGAGGATATTTTTTTTACCGGTTATGTTTTGAGATACACGTATGATTTGACATATTAGAAACTGGTTTAATTGCGTTATTCAAATTTAGAATAAGCTGGCGTCCGCGGATTTGTCCGCGTAATTTAGGTAAATGCTTTTGTAATCGTTACAACAGATTTTTTTTTATCTATGTCTGGCGCGCCAAATATAGACGTGTTGTAAATTATAAAATACCGGAAATAATAAAATAGTGTTAATTAGTATAATTAACACATGAAAAGTAATTTTTTTTATCTCATTGGTATAACTCTAAAAAGACCTGTTCCAAATTATTTTTTGTATATCTTTGAACAGTCCAGCTACAACATATAGAATATATTGTTGAAAGTTTTTCTATTCGTAATTAAGTCGATGATAGACTATTTATATTATTAACTAGCTTTCGCTCACGACTCTGTCTGCGTGGTATTAAAAAAAATACGTAGTCTATGTGTTCTTCCAGACTATCCTCTGCATCTATACAAATTTCATCAAAATCCGTTCAGCCGTTTAGGCTAGAAACTCTAATAAACATCCTGGATGGATCCATCCATCCATACATCTAAACCTTACGCATTTATAATATTATTACAATGTCATTGATTGCGCGAGCGTGGCATACCTCGCATTCCAGTACTTAAAATATGTGTTAATTAATGGACACCGCGGTCGGTCGAATGCCGCCTTGATTAATTTGAATATCTAATCCCATAACTGAGCATGTGACTCTAACCAGATGATAATGGTCATGATATTACATACCTTGCAATATCTATCTCATTTAATTTTGTAATTGTACGTCAACTTTTGTAGTTACGATATCTACGAGAATAAACTTCAAAAGGTTCTTTGTTGATTCGTTGTTTTCATTCCATAATTTGAAACTCTAATGTCGAGCGCGTAAAGATATACATACCATATTGATAATAAGTAAGTAAGCTACAATAAAGTTTATTTCTTAATTTCGAAGTATAACTTAAAGATAATCATAAGGATCCATTAAGTAATGGTTTCGGGATCTTCACTTATGTTAGAGGACTTTTGTGGCAGACTTTGAGGATTTATTCCGACTTAAAAGCGCCGTCTCGGAGGCGACATCTAGCGAGCTGCGGTACATAATCTTGTAAAATGTCTTTGTAAGAACGCTAACATCCCCAGTGGGTATTTACTTTTTACTGTAACTTATAAGAATGGTCAGCGTATTACTTAGTTAGTTTGTTTCTTTTAGAACTTGACAACTTACAGGATGCAACTTAATGTAAGTGAGATAATCGGTCTAGATGAAATCAAAGGTTGGATGTTGGCTAGTGCTGTAAATTCTCTTGAGTAGAACCTCAAAGGTTGTGAAACTTCCACGAATCAGTTAGTACGGTCGGGTTGTTCACGCTACATGTGCTTTGAAAGCTTTATTTTGATGTTGCTAAATAAAAAATAGCTTGTTAACCAGATTTAAGAGTACTTATTAGATTTTACTGGACTTTAAGATCGATAATTAACATATTTGAGTTTGTGCATTGTTTTTAAAGCAAAGCAAGATTTATAGAGATCGTTTAAAATGTTGCTTCACGTAATCTGTGCGTTTTGTTTGCTTGTTCATTTATAGTCGGGCTATAATGAGTTTGTTTTGGTATTAAATAGGAATTAAACAGTTTTTTTTGATATTGAATATAATGATAATGAGGTGCGCTATCAGTGGAAGGCCCTCATATCAGATAGAGGCGATAACAGCCCGCACGACGCTGATACGTAGAATTAGTGTGAATTTTCGGCGACCACTTATCATCGGCGGTGGTCTGGGGTACCTACCGACAGCCTCTGCCCCTCGCTGGCTGACTGGTATTCGAGACCTCTGCTGATCCTGGACCTCTACCTTTTTTATCTTAATTTTTTTTATTAATACCTAATCTTGATTGATTAACGCAATTAATCGATGATAACCTGATTGTTTATTGCTTTTTGGTTTTCGTGTTTGATTTTTTAAAGTTTTTTTTTAATTATTACAATTCTAATTGTCATTTATGTCTAATTATAGTAATTAAATTTTGCAAAACTTTAAAATTCTTCATACAATTATAACTATTTTACATTTAATTAAATGAAATTACCTCGAATATGAAAACCGGTTACCTGTTACAGTGTTTACTGTTGCTTGATACGAGTATTTTCCAATTATTAGTTTATTTAATTAACTATATTCTATAGTTAGTTAATTAAACAACATAATTTGCTAGTTCTCATCAAAATAACGTATCAAAAACTTAATAAGTAGTACAGGTTTTTCCCACCGCGTTCTTAAACAGAATGTAAAATGAAATATGAGAGCTTTTTGTGCTGATAATTTATAAAGGTTTTGCTTTTAAGGTATTGGAGATATACTTAGAACCTTGCCGAGGCGTGGTACCAGGAGAGCAGAAACTGCCGCATCGATCTTATACTCTTCAACTTTGCGAGCTCCATTACCTTCCCATTAAGTACTTAATAATTCTTGGAAATTTACCGCGTAATATCTTATTGAAAAGTAGCTGAAGTATTGTAGATTATTTTTTCTAGGAATCAAGTGAGACTGTCGTTAGAAGGATAATGCAGCCTTCGGTCTAACGGTAACTATAATTTTATTTACTCCGTCCACTCTGGTTTTCTTCAAAAATATTAAGGAAGTAGCAGAGCACATAATATAATAAATATAGTTACTTCATGTACTAACACATCACGTTCATTTTAAATAATAACTATTATTTTAGCGTATTTTCTGTACCAGGGGTGCATACTGAAAAGGAGTTACGATATAATATGAATAGAAAGTTTCCATTTGAACAAACGGATGTAATTAAAATCTGTGTTGCGAGATAAGGCGGGCGGCGGTCGGGCAACTAGGGCGGGCAAGGCGGGCGGTCCATTCACGGAGCTTGGCCGCTGTCGGTTGCATTCGATTGTGACGTCATTTGCGAAGTTCGTGTCGATTGTACGACCAGTTTGCCCCGTTGGACAATTTACAAAGATTCCGATCTTATTATTGCAATCTTCGAAAGTTATAACTCGTAAAAACGTAGAAAACTTATCAGCTTTGAGTTTGCAGCCGCTATTCGTAACTAATCGTAAGGTACACAAGCATGATACTTAAGGTGAAACCATGGTCAAGATATTAAGTTCATCGATACCTTACTTCTCTATTGCGAAAGAACATTGAATTACCTAATAAAAGTAACAAGTGTAATTCGACATTTTCTTCCACTTTGACAATTTTGATACCTACCTCACCTCCCCTCTTTAAGCGTCTTCCAAACTAATCTCTCTTACCTTTTCAAAACTCATCGCGAACGTAAGGGTCCTGTCAAAAAGATACCTGCGTGTGAAGTGCCCTCGAGTAAAGTCGAGAGGCACTCAGGACTCGAGTGGTGCGGAGTGCCGGGCGGGTCGAGGGCCGGAGGGGGTGAAGGGGGGCTACAATCAGTAAGGGTACGCTACCGGCGTCAACTTGAGAAGTCGGCGTTGGTCAGTCGGTCCCGACAGCTCGTGGTTCGAGACTAATACCGACTTTAGGGAAGGAAGCAAATCTTATCATGAGTGTGTTTTTCTTAGTTTTATTTACTCAGTCGATTGAAAGTTAATACAATGTTCGACAAGTTTGCTACTCAAATATTTATTCGTGATTGGATCGTTGTACCAAAGATTGCCAAGGTATGCTACACGTGAAATAAAATCGATCTACTGTGTAGTAGGTTTTGTTTTTGTTTTGAAATTAACATTTGATATTTATTTATTTTTTTAATTAAAACTCAAGGCTGTTTTAGAAACTATAAGGTCAGGTACATATATTTAAGTTTGAAATGATATAAATTTATTTAACTTTGTTTTATCATGTTAACATGTGTAATCGATAATTACTTTTAGTGATAATAGATGGCGTTAATCAATATTATTTGATTTAGTCCCTATGTTATGTTTATTCGTATCGTTTTATAGATTGTCGGTTGAATTGAGAAGGCATTTTGGGAAATGTTGTTTTGTAAAACATTCTGTGGTGAGGTGGCTGCCGGCTGCAGGCGAGAGGTGTACAAAATCAGCTTCAACAGGTTAACGCGTTGCTGCGTTTGTTTCTCTATTACGTACTATCGTTTAACGATTTACAAGCAAGTTTTATAATCGTTGTTAAATATTACCATGATATAGACTCTTCGTAAAGCCACGAGATCAAATTTCTAAAAAATGGTGGTCTTCTAAGTGTAACTACATATATCGTAAACTGTAAAGCTAAAACTTTTTTTTTTTTTAATTCGTGTATTTTTTATTAGAGAATTGTGACAGTAATTATAAATACTTGCAAAATACATACATAATACTATGGTAGTGTCGTATCCGCTACGCTGTTTTGATTTTATAAAAAAATATAAATTCTCATATTGCGTCTCTACACTTCTAAAAAAACTATTAAATGGTTTAAATTGCAATAATACATATGTCTCTTAGATTGCGTATTGTTTATTTTATTTACGTACAATTAAGAACAACAAGTCACCGTATACCACTCGGAGCCCTCCTAGCAGCAGTATCCCGGCTTCACGCATGTAATTGTCGACAGTACTTTGCCGCCTCGAGTGCCCTCAATCACATGTCTACGCAATTGTCTACGAAACATTTTACAATGGAAAAGTGCGTCTACAATTTATATACGGTTATAATGACTGTCATACAAGTGTAACTAAGTAACCATAACTAAATCAACTTTGTAACAGAAATGTTTCAACTTGATTTAGGTTTACTTAATTGCTAAATACATAGCTAAGGGGTAAGCTCCATTAATCCCCGTACATAAATGTGTATGGCCTTATTTTCGAACCCTTGTTCGTGTAAATATTAAAAGGGGATGAAGGTAAGCGTACTTTTTCATTTAAAAATAAAACGTCATTCAATATAAATTAGAATCGTAATACGATATTGATTGAGGCGAGTACGCGAGATGGCGAGTGGAGTCCCAAGGCCGAGTCATTCATTCCCTCGCCGGAAGAATGACTCAGAGGTCGGTATCCGCAACTGAGTGCCGCGTACTACTTAAAACAAATGTTGCCCGAGTCACGAGTCACTACGATAGAGGAGTTTTTGTAAACAATTTAGCAAAGTCTGTGTTATTAAAATAATGTTTTAAACATTAATTTAATCTTTGACAAATATGTCAGTATTATCAGGAATATCGTTTGTATCAAAATAATTGATGAACAAAATGTTTTGAAAAAAGTTAGGGAAAAAGAGTAAAGTTGTGAATCTTTGACTATGAAACACTAATACTTTAAGCTGGCGAAGTATTTCAAAACATTTATTTTTATATTAAGTAAATAATAATAAAAATGACTAATGGTTCTAAGGTATAAAAAAGTATTTTTTTAAGTTTTATCAGCGTGCAACATTGTTTGGGGTAGTTGGCGCATGCGCGCTGGGCGCGGCGGGCGCGCGGTCGATAGGGCGGCGGGGGGTCTTTGCGAGTAGCGCCAGTCCGCGCCGCGCCGGGCCCCAGCCAGCCCGCGCCGCGCCGCCATGACGGCGCGCGCGCTCTTTACCCTGTTGACCGCGATATTCGCCGCGGCGACCCTCGGAAATGCCGAGAAGAGCAAGTTCTGTAAGTACTCTACTATCATAAGTAACTACTTAAATATATATTAAGTTTCTACTGTATGTTAATTCATTTTGCCGCCCGGCGTCCGTACAACGCCCCCTAGCGGTTGGCGGATTAAAAGAAAGTGGAGTTCGCGGTTATTACGGTTTGGATGACTCCATTTTGAAGCAATTTCCCGTTTCGATATTGCACGGAGTCGCTTTATCTGCACTGAATTATTGTTAGTGAACCGTAAGCTAGCAGCATAAAACTTTAAGGTCAAGAAGAAACTTGAAAAAACACTCGGAATGACAGAACATTTGGAAAAACAGTTGAATATTTTTCAATGTTATTTGTAGTTAGTTTATTTGTTGAGTTGCCATTACCGTTGTCTGTTAGTACAAGTGCATGCGAGAAAGTAGTTATTAAGGGCTTATTCAACGTAAAATTAGAGTGGCTCATAGTAACGGAAATAGGTCATAGAGACAATACGAAATGAAGCGTGGCGCGGCGCTGGGCGGCGCGGCGGGCTGCGCGCGAGGCGCGAGGCGCGAGCGGCCGCGTGTGGGGTGTAAGTACTATCGTATACAAATTGCTACGCTACGCTCCACTCCTGTGTCTGCCATGAGGATGTTATTAAAGACCTCCTACGGATGCGTAACGAATATTCTATTTTTATACGGCAATAAAAGTTCACTATTCTCTGAACGGTTCGCTAGAATAAAACATAACTGACTACAGTCGATCAATTCAGATAGTTTAGTAATTTCTGAATATAACTGACTTCTAAATGAATTATCACGAGTCTTTCTGATATAACAGTTAATATGTTGACGTATTTCGAATTGAAATAAACATACATATTGATATACACATATAGACTTTATTATAAGCATTTTGATAACATTTGAACTTAAATATTACTAAAGTATTTGTTGATCTTCTGCCAACCTTCAGACAATTTGTTGGCTATCTTATCTACGGGTCCTGGTCCGCCGCAATGCCTGGCTGGACCAGCCAGTAGGACCGCATCACCTGGGCCCAGTCTTAAACCTTTGTCGATGGTCACGTGACCCCCTGCTGATACACTGGACCCTCCTGAGCTCGCAGCAACTGTCATAGTAGGCGGAAGACCAGGAACTTTTGTTAGGTCTACTTCAAGCTGACTTCGAGCAAAGTTGACGACCACTAACAGAGAGCCGCTGCCGCCCCATCTTAGTACTGATAGAGCATTCCCTAAGCGCCTGATCTGAAAATGCATTCATATTATTCTGACTAATTTATTTTTCCAATGAATAATTTAGTATTCTTGTTTAAATAAAATGTCAAAACGCAAAGATTAATTGTTTCTTAAATCCAATAATTAAAGTAAATAGTTACATTTCCGACTTTATTCTTAATGTATTTAATTTAGTTACTCGATATGACAGTAATAATGAATCATACCGATAATATAATGCGAAAGGTTGGATGTATGTATGTATGATTATTACTAAGTATTTTAAACAGTTGACATAGATTAGAACATAGTCTGAAGGATAACATAGAGTACTTACTTATTTAGTTATTTTTTTAATTTCGCGCGGACGAATTAGCGTGCAAAAGTAATGCTATATAAATAAGTTTATGCACAATATAAAAGATGACGTAGGAATAAAGTTCAAAGTAAAGAAAAACATTCATTTCCACATCTCTTCTAAATAAAGACTTTTCTGAAAATTCAAATAATAGACCAGACGCAGTCAAAATACGGAGTCTTATTACGTAGGCGAAAGTACTTTCAAGATGAAATAAATACTATTTTTACGAGCAATTTATTCTAAAAGTGCTTCAGTTTGTTTTAAAAGTATTATAAAAGCGGACGCGTCTGCCTCGCAAGGATTAGAGGACGTGAAAATGTACACTGTTCAGTATAAAACAGGCGGTTGTGGATTGCATCACATTATTCTCTCGTGCGAGTAACTTCGAATTTAAATTTCAGAATCCGAGCATACGTTAGCCGGAGCCCGCTCGGCCGCGCTCAAACAAAATGCTTTGAAGATGCTCGCTACGAAATTTTTGAAGCGCTTGTTACGAAAAGAAATATTTTACTTAAAAAATTTGCATAGGTATTTCCTTTAAGATACAGAAATTGACTAACATAATCTGAGAGATTTATCAGTAATCTATTTTTATATTGCCAAGTTTTTATAAATACATAATACTAATATTAGAAGTTAACGATTTTAGAAATTACCTCTGTATGCGGGCCCATAGCCGGCGACTTCATCATAGCTGCAGCAACTCTGACGACACCAACGTGACTCAATTCATTAGCAAACTCTGTCTTAGCGTTAGCATATTTGTAGTTCGTAGCAAGAGGTAGCCAGGGCTGTCCATTTGTGAACCCCGCCCCTGGAGTATCATCCCATGGGAACGGTGCTAATGAAGGTTCTGCTTTAGCTGGCCAGCACTCAGCAGTAGTCACCCATTCTAGTAGCGTGTCAGCAGCACCGAGTTCGTCTCCTTGTTGGATTATTGCAGCCCCGGGTAGTATAAGAGCCAGCATATTAACAGCATCCACCATTTCACTACCGTATCTTGTAGCTATACGTGTACCACCGGGTATGCTCGTCTGTTAATCAAGGTGACATGAAAGCATATAATGTAGATGCAAAAGATTTTTTAACAAGCAACAAATTTCTGTTGTACTTTATGTATATCTATAAAGTAAAATAACTGAGCAATAAATTAAAACATATTACAAACATAAAATATTATCCTTTCAACTAGCTCTCCATTAGGTAAATTGATTTAAACAATTTAGTTACAAGCAAGCGACGTGGTCGTGCGATGCATTGCCAGTGTGGTTGCGATTCAATTTACGGCCAGCAGATGGTATAATAAAGATGCTCACTTGCCAAGTGGCGGCCATGTCTTGCGGGCAACGGAACATGTCTGTGAGCACCGCCACCGCCAAATCCGGTCCTGTGGGCCTCGTAGGCGATGTCAGCGCGTTACTTATTACACTATTGGCACCGTTTCCTTCGTAGTCGTACAGGATGCCATCTGCCGTCGGACTCGCTGCACCCTCCACAATAATTACCCTGCAAACAGTGTGATATGAAACGTTTAATATCACACTTTAAGATCATTAATTTCGCAAAACTGTTGGACTCACGCCAGTAATGATACGGCAGTTGTGAGGCTTTTTCTTTTGCGTTTTGTATTTACAGACTACGTAATTACAGCGAGCGGGGCGAGGGATGCGGAGGTGCGAGGCTCGGGGGAGATTCGTGTATTCTTCCAGTTACTTTGAAAGTACTTAAAGGACTAAGTAATGTAAAGTTTTAAGTTCTTTGCGACACTTTCCGTTTCTTGAATCAGTTTTTGAACTCGTTTGGCCGACTTGTCTTTGACGTTTTATTTTTAAGGGTGAGTTGCACCATATCGCCGGTTACCGTTAAAGTTAAAATTATTTGAAATGGTAATATTTGGAATAATCTTAAAATTTACTAAGGATGAGTTACATCAACTAACTATAAACCTTAACCAGCACATTCCCGATGGTTACGTCTTCGGATGTTCATGATATTCGCTACACCAGTTTTGCGCTGGTCAAAATGACGTCATATTTGACACTAATCATAACCGCCCGATTTTGGGCGGTTACAGTTAGCGTTACGGTTAGTGTCAGTTCGGTAGTGTCAACTGTCACAAGCTCTTATCTTCAAAAGCACAAATAATGGAAAAAGTAATGGAAAAAGAAAATATCTACTATTATCCTATACGTAATCCAGAAGAATAAAGTCTTGCGTGCTCGGAAATAATGGATTTCCAAGATGGAACTCGAAATTTGGCCAAACATTCAGTTTGGACAAATTTCGAGTGTCTAAGGCCATAGCAACAGCGCTTGTCCCTTTTCTCTTATTTAAAAAATGTCCTCTATAAAAGGTCAATTTATAATATGCATTGACAGGACAATTTATAATATGGAAAATAAATAAGATGCATTTATATTTGTATAATTTAATTGCTTCATTTTTGCTACATATTTGAGTAGTAAAGTAAATACAGTTTCAATAATGGCCCAAACTAGTTTATTTTCACAAGAGTTTGCCATTTTCTCCATCTTCGTGGGCAAAAAGTTTATTTCACTATAAAATACCATGCGTATGATACATAAATATAATCGGCGAAACATGAATTTCCAAACATTTTAATTTACGTAAATGTCATTCTTGACACCAACTTGACACTTTAGTGACATTCAGGTTTAAATGTTTCCATTGTAAAAACGAAAAACACATAAAACCTCTGTGAGAATATGTTTTTGCACTTGTAACCCTATTATAACTTTTACGATAACCAGCGATTTGATGCAACTCACCCTAAATGTTCCGTTTGTATTAAATATAATTGTTTAATAATTGTGGGCTTCTGTGGAAAACTAAATCGTAACATTACGGTGTTACGGTCCATTATCCGTTACATTTGTCATTAATCCGAACACCGTTGTAACAGTTATTAATTCGGTATCAGTTTTATTGAAAACGGGATTCCAATAATTTGAAAACTTTTCTCCGTCAGCCGAAGTTTTCAATTCTGCCGCTCCTTCAGATGATTCAAATTCTTTAGTATTTCACTTCGAGAATTTAATAAGGAAAATACAATTTTGATGTTGGTAATTGATATTACATTTTAATGGGATACATTGTAAATTTAAATATCTTATTGATAAAAGGAATGACCAAGAAAATTCTGTTGATATCTGTCAGGTTTTCGTTACATTTTTAATATCTCCTTTAATAGTACTTACGGTATTTCCAAGTTAGCACTTCTAGCACAACTTCTAGCATCTACTGTGAGTCTTTTGACCACCTTCCCACTACATTCAGAGTTATCTGTTTTGAGGAGTATGCCGGCCACTCCCCTCTTCAGCCACACACAGAGAACAGTAGACAGCGCCGCCGCCGTGTTCTCTACACATAAATCCAACGCTGCTCCATTGTCCGTTGCCGCGTAGTGTACGCCCCTAGCCTCTGACCATGTCCAATTGCCATTTGAGTGCTATAAATGAATCACGTATTATTTATTACTGCTATATGTGTTGTCTATTGAAGTTAGATGTATGCAATAAATAAATATTTATGTACATGCGTATGTAAAATGAAATAAAATGACGACTAACTTCTGGCCCATAAGACTGGACTTCCTTCCACAGAATCCTATCTTCATAGCCGATGTTCCGCGCTTCACTGAACTTGTACCATTCTGAGGCAACGCTTATTGCCTTTAACTGCAACGTAATTACCACTTTTAGCTCTGCGGAATATAAACAGAACACGTTTCAGTCCATATTAAATGGTCGAGAATAAAGTATAGTAAAGTTGAGAATGACGTAATCTTGCGAATAAGTAGTGAGGCTACGACTAAGTTGCGAGGCGAGTTAAGTCGGTCGCGAGCTATTTGTTTCAGTTACTTAGTGCTTATGGACCTCAAGAACGTATCAGTCTTTTAGTAGACTTATTCCGCTTTATTTCTCTGTTCCATTTTTACAGTGATTTTATTTTAAGAATGTTTTTTGTTCGCAGTAAACAATATGATTAGTGTTAATATTTTAAAGATGGTGTCATGGAGACAGTGGTAATACCTAATTATTGATTTACCATCATACAACTGGTTAGTGATAAAGTAATTAAGAATTAAAAGATATAAACATATATGAAAAGATAATGTAGTGTTATCAATAGATAAATAACTAATAAAACAATCTTGTCTGTCGTTTTGATTTAATTCGTATTTGTAATAACTGGATTGTCTGCGGTTTTGTCTGCGTAGAAACTAGCCAATAATCATATTTTTATTCTATTTTCATATTATGCGGATGTTATATGAAAATATAGTAGACTACTTATTTTCTTTCGTTGAAAATTGTGTTCCTCTAATATACGAGTGTCTACTTTATTAGAACAAAGTTCAAGTTATAAGTAGATTCCTTCAGAGTAACATTATATACTTAAAAGTATTACCCTTAAAAATGCATCAAACAGACAGAGCTACTAATTATCGTATATATGATTTTTAATTATAGTTTTATCAACAAACCATATTACCTAATTTCTGGGTTTTTTCTATTAATGATTTGAACGTATTGGAATCACCATATCTGGCATCAATCAGTGCAAAATCTACGACACCTGGGTGATTACAGTCTGTGCTGTGAGCGGTAATATCTGACAGAACGACTGCGTCTGCCCCCAGGGCGCGCACGTAACTCAATTGTTTTATTAAACCTGCAAACAACACGTATAAATTACGGAAAACAGATCTTTGTTAACATAATGAGTTATCATGGCAATTAAAAAGGAAATTAAAATATTCTCAAAGAACTAAAATGCGCTTTATTTAAATAAACGCAATTCAAAAAGAGTTACAGCTTTGTGGAATTTCTTTAATAATAAGAAGAAATTGTTTGTTTAAATTTCTTTTGAGATGTTGGTAGTCTAATTAAGTAATTTTATAGGACTTTTTAATAACAAATGGCGTTGCATAAAATGCCATCGGTTATGGCATCTATCATAGCTTTTTATTTTTCACAAGCGACTACATAAATCTCTCCAGAATTACCTTGCAAATCTCCCAATCCATCACCGTCGCTGTCCTTGAAGGAATCAACTTGGATCCTGTAATAAACCGCATTACTCCACCAGGCCTCCATCAGCCCTCCCCCTCCCCTTGCATCCCCCGTGCCCCCTGCACGACAGAGACCTCCCACAGCCAGCCCTAACGCGAGCGCGATGAGCTGCATGCTAACAGAGATTGCCTCAGTAATGATCATTTACCGTAAACCATGACCTTATTACACTAGTGATGTGACGTCTTAGCGAAAATTATTTAAAAACCTAAAGGCCCTGTGTTTTAGCGATCATTAGAATAAGAAATAGTTGAATTTTCAGTAAAAAACGAAATAAAACACATCTGTTACATTTATATGAAATAGCTTCTAGAATATTCTTGTGATATAAACTCCCGTTTAAAATTACTTATAATTTTAATAAACCGGTACATTAAGCAGGAGTGCTATCATTAAAGCGTTTTAAATTTAAATCTAGAGCACAGCGTACCAGCCCGGCTTGGGTGGCGTGCAACTTTGCTAAAATACCGTAACATCCTAAATGCGGTACGAAGTGCACTCAGGGCCTTCACTTCGCCGGAAGCGACGTCAGCAGCCGGCCGGTAATCGCCCCTCCGTTACGAGACAAATTACGGTACGTACCGAATAATATAGTACTAAAGAGGCCTCCGAGCTCCGCACTATGTCATTTGTTGACGAGCGCAAATTTTAATAACACCCTGGAGGATGATACGTTGGTTTTTTATTATGAAATTGTTTTCGTTACTTGAAGGTGTTTATATACTTTTTTGATCATATTGCAAAGTCTTACTTACTAGTCAATTAACTGCGGCAAGTAAAATCATAATTCTTCATCTGGTGCGGCAGCGGGCCAAAATATCAATGATGTTTCCGCCAGTGAGTGGCAGGTCTTTCTAGACCCACCAGCACTAGGATTGATTAAATTGCTATAATTTTGTGGAAACGTTATGTACACATTTTATATAATGTAATACATCTGAGATAATCGTTTCGGACTAGCGAGGACATATCTTCATTCGCACCAGCTTAAGTACCGCGTCAGGTCGATATCGGCCTGATACGCAGTGACCACTATTGAGGTACTATCAATTTATTTCATCAGTTTAGCTTCGTATACTTAGATCTAAACCTGACGTTTGAATTAGGGTTGTAAATGATGTTAACACTTTCACATTTTTTTTAATATTTATTAACTAATTATAAAATAATTTTCTAGTAACTAATTGCTATTGTGGTCATGTAGGCGGTGCGCGCAACACTAGCGCCTCTCCGGGCTGCAGACTCAACTCGCCCAGTGATATTGTATCCCTGAAATATTAGAAAATTATATCAAATTAAACTAATAGAACTAACGTTGGTTTTGTATCTAGTATTAAATAGATGAACAAATACTTTTGTAGAAGAGGTATCTTAAATAGTGAATGTTTACAAATCCGTTTGGTTAATTTCTATTTTAAAACTCTTTTATACGACACACTCTTAGTATGTTCTGGTATACTGTTATCTACTTGTTATATTTGATTATATTACAGTGATAAAAATAAACATGAATGTTTAAATTAATCCATTTACAAGTCGGAAAACTAAAATTGATGATATATCGCGATTTTAAAATATAATCAACAAAGATAAAGCCACCTCGGTGTTCATAGCCGTAAGATATATTGCACTTTGTATTATAATTGATAATATTGATTGTAAAATGCAATTATTATTTATGTGCCTGTAGAAAAGAAGCTAGTGCATGAGCCGCGAGAAAGGCCACAGTTTTTGCAAACGAAATCTTGATTACCTATTTAATCAAAGTTAAGCCGTGATATATTCTAAATATTACAGATTGTACTATCTCTTAATAAGGGATTGTTGGATCGCTTGTATTCAGTTGTAGAGTGATCTAATAGATAACATAATCTACAATTTAAAATATTAATGGTTTTTTCCAAATATAGCCTGTAACGTTACATCATCGACAAGGTTAGTATATCAGCGCGAAGTGACAATTTAATACAATTTACTAGAATCAAAAGTGAATGTACTGCTTACTTTTATCTGAAATTGGATTGCTATTCCCTAACAGGAAAACACTACATACCCTGTTCTTCTTCTTGAGAATACGCTGGATTCGTAGACCGTCATTGGTTCATTGAGGAACGCGACTCTAGCCAGATCCACGGTATCCTCATCTGTACCCACATTGAACAATAGGACGTAAGTATTGTACGTGGCGAGATGGCGTACCAGCACCAGCGTGTTAACAGACAGTGCTTCCAGGTAGTGGGCGCCGTGCGATAATGATGCCATCCCGCGTAGTCTACTCAGCGATTGGTATACCTGGAGATTATTTGGCTTTCTATTTTTCTTTCAGGGCAATACCTTTCTTTAACTTGGAGTAACTATCAAAATGTGATTAAAACATTTAGATGATTTTACTAAATACTTTAGATTATATATTAATATTTTACGTACCTTGTAATGACTCCGCTCGGCCTCTCTCTGGGCTTGCAGATTGATTTCCATGTAGTCTTCAGCTACCGGCAGCCAAGTTGTCTGCCCCGTGGTGAAGCCGGCGTTGGTAGAGTTGTCCCAATGGTACGGCGTGCGTGCCGGGTCTCTCGAGTACTCCAGGTAGTTGTCTGGATTGCCTTGGTTGATCGCATTCACATCGACGGTGTCATTCCAGCTGACGTACCCGTCTCTCATTCCTATCTCTTCGCCTTGGTACGTTATGGCCACTCCAGGGAGCATCAAATTTAGAGCATTCAGACCATCTACCATAGTAGTTCTGAATCTTGACGGAGCTCTGCTGTTATCATGGTTGCCAAACTGGAAAGATAATTGCAATAATTGCGTATGTAAGTTGTAATGGGCGATTAATCGCCAAGTTACAGAGTCATATCCGGCGCGACGATATTGTGTTTAATCTTCTTTGAGTTTACGATTATTATTTTGATTGTACAAAATTACAATTAACGTAATATTTGATCTATTTTAAATCTATCCAATTCATAAAATACGCGACAATTATGAAATAACAAGTTAAGATATCTCTGTTATGTAACAAAATTGCTTTTGCTTAGGCATAAAATATTGTTATTTGTTCATGCTGTTTATAGTAATATTTTAACTAACCACCCAGTTGGCGACATTGCCGTAGGGCATGTAGGTGAGCCAGCGACTGATGACGTAGACGAAGTCACGTGCGTTGGAGGTGGCTCTGAGGCTAGTGATGAAGTCAAAGTTAAAGGGGAAATGGCAGCCGATGCGGCCGCGCTCGTCGCCATAGTACAACATCGTCATTGAAACGTTAGCGTACGCCTCTGCTAGCAGTACTCTGGAAATATTGAAAATATGGTTGTCATATACACAAGTATGAATTTAGCAACAATAATGAAAACAGGTGTTCAATTACACTCGATTGTAAAACGTAGTACTTACATTGTTTCCGAATCGTTTTCCTCCTGCCAACTGTCTGCGAATTCCCTCCATTCGTAGACAACGTCATAAATCTCTATAAGGTCTTTTATGTGTTCCTGTGTGGTGAATCCAGCCTGATCACTTGTCAGGAACATGTTCCCGGATAGAGGTTCATCGGGGAAGATACCTCCGTAATCGTCGGGATCGGCTTCAAAAAGGTGAGGGAGAGCGTCCAAACGGAAGCCATGCACCCCCTTCTCTATCCAGAACTGCATAATGTTGATCATCTCCTGTCTGACGGCAGGCTCGCGGAAGTTGAAGTCAGCTTGCTCCACCGCGAACTGGTGTAGGTAGTATTGTTGCCGCTCTTCGTTCCACTCCCACACGCTTCCACCGAACTGACTGATCTGATAAATAAAAAAAAATGATATTACTATCTAAAGCCCACAGCTGTATTTTATAGTGTTATTTTTTATGCAAAAATAATAGAAATGTTACCCAGTTGGATGGGACTGTGCGGTTCCCATTGACATCTATCTTAGCATCAGCCCAAATGAAGAAATTCTCGTAGCCCGGCTCCCTGGCCACTGATTTCTTGAAGTACTCTGATTCTGTGCTTGCGTGGTTCGGCACGTAGTCCAGTAGCACTTTTATACCTTAAGTAATCAAAATAAATTACTGTTTCTACATGTTGTTTAAAATGGTAGCAGTGAATAATTTTCAGTCGTATATCCAAAATAGCTATTGACTGGACTTTAGATACATAGGCATACTAATAAATAAAAAAAATACCAAGTTGTTGTGCCCGCCGGATGAGTTCTTCAAAATCAGCCATAGTACCGTACTCATGGTGGATATCGTAGAAATCGCTGATGTCGTAGCCGAAGTCCACCATTGGGGACACGAAGATAGGTGACAGCCAAATAGTACCAATGCCCGCGTCCAAGAAATGTTCTAATTCACTTGTAATACCTGTTGGAGAATTTCAGACATGTTATAGTTATACGAGTACATCAATTTATTATAAAGGAATGTGAAAAGTATTACTTGGTAAAGCGGTTTTATTCTTCCCGTGAAAGCTGTGAAATCACTTCTTCTTAGGATTCAATCAAGTATAATGAAAAAGTTCTATTCTCTAATATTCTGATGTCCCTAAAGGTTGTTATCTTGGTCCGGTATTCTTAATGCAAAGTTTAACATGCCAAATTAATTTATAAAAAATATTACGAACCTTTTAAATCACCTATTCCATCGCCATCTGTATCTTTGAAGGAACGTGGATAGATCTGATAAATGATCGTGTGCTCCCACCAATCCAATTCTATAATATCAGGTGGCGTCGTGTCGCTTCTCATGAGGGCCCAAGTCACCGTGCCCACTACCACTCCTACTACTACCGCCACCAGCACTGTTATCAACACTACCTTACCCCACGACGGCATTTTGGCAATGCTAACTGTTCACACGGGATCCAATATTTAAATGAATCATTATCTGACAGTAATCTAAATTGCGACAATATTTAGGATAATGATAACTTATCATTGAAAAGACCCTTGAATTATACTTCCAAATATAAACTAATTTGATAATGGATTGTTTAAAATCTTTAGTTGCCATGAGTGAGCGCTGAATTTAACAGTTTACCATCAAGGGGATATACGAAAAAGACAATATGTGAACGCATATCCTTAAAACAATTGTTCATTTATAAGGGAAAGACGAGTTAAGAGAATTGTAGTTGACGTTTGTAGAACAATGTCCATACAAACACTGCCTGTTGCTTACATTCCAATACAGTGGGTGTTACGATTTCAAAGTGTATTGCGGTGAATTGAACAACTCTTCAAAAAAAAAAATTCTTTCTTACTTGTAGTGGATTTTAATGTTATTCTGTTAAACGCTTTTTGGAATCTAATTGGAAACCAAGTGATTTGAATTCATTTTTTGTTTCTATCAGTGTTTTTTTTTAAAGTAAAATTTTATTCTATAACGTTTCTTCGACCATAAGGATCAAAGTAATAGAACACGTATTTGTAGGTGAGTACATTTTACCGTTTCTTAAAATATGCATATTTAATTTCATACATCGATCTATTCAACTCGTTAAGAATATATTATCCGGTTTTATCTGAAACACAATATTAATATTCATGAAAATTAAATGTCAAGTGCATCGCAACTTTACAAAATGGAAAATTTTCATATGACAAAATATAAAAGCTATATTACGATTATAATCCTCTTCTGGAAATCTAAGAAGTTTTTCATGCATTCTGTACAAAAATCTAGATAAATCGAAATAACCTGGTTTTAGCAAATTGTTTTTTTTTTACAATATCTCGTTTGAACCATAGCATACAACACATTCACTGGATCGATCTCCGGCCCCTCATTGAGCAGCTCGTACAGCTGCGATATTTCAATGCCATTGTTTTCTATCAATATACGAACATATCTGATTCAAATACTGGATTTTTTTAAATGGAATTCAGACTATCAATGACTAAATTAAAGGTTTTTGGAAATTACATTTGCTTTTTCTATTCATTTCAATTAAAAATATTCGATTAACCTTTTTGTTAAATTTGAATTCTAAGAGTAGGCCTTTGACTAAACGATCTGTTGTGCGATTGTCGATTGTTTCGCAGCCCATTTAACTGTTTAGTTGCACAATTAAAAATCTAGTAGTGTGTGCACCTCCATATATGGTAAGCTTATAGGAATCAAAGCAAGACTAAACAGTTGTGCGATAGTTTATTTCATGTGCATACCTAATAAGCTTAATATTAGTGTAGCTATACACGATCTCCTACAGATTTTAGTTAACCTTTTAGTTCACCTCACTGAAACATCAAAAACCCTGTTCCTGAATTGTTACATTTTTCTTTGCACAGCAAAAATATTTAGTCGGAATTCGCAAACTACGATTTATAACGGAAATGATTCTTTTTTATAAATTGGCCTGCATCCAGCTCTCACGGGATATTCCTGTTACTGCAGCAATCCTACGGACATTAAATGTGGCCAGCGTTAAATTATTAGAGAAATATGTTCCAAGAACGATGTCAGATTAAATAATGTCAGAAAGGCAGGACAATTTTCTTCGTCATCATCAAAACAACTGGGGTTTATTTAATTAATAATTTAACTATTTTTTTCGTATACTAAAAACTAGCCGAGTAACTATATGTTTCATACATTTTTTATGCCAGCGTAACACATTTCATGTTAAAAACCAATAACTTTCAATGCATCGAAACAAAAACAAAACGCAGCAGTAACGAGAAATGAACGCGGAATAACTGGGCTCGGGGCAAAAACGTGCAAAATGTTATTACTCCAAAAAGCTACGAAAAGCAACGCTTTTATGACGCGCACCGCAAAGTGGTAAATGTTTGGAACAAGTATGGCAGCGGCATTCCGCAGCGGAACCCCGCTTTCGTATCAAAGGCCGGGATAAACGTTTCCAAATAAAACAGCAAATTGTATTCCAAACTAACTTAGGGCTCTATATCGTATTTACACAAAGCAAATTCCCGTAACGCGAGCATAGGTGGCTGGCGAATAGTTTGACATTGTTTTGAACTCAGCTCCTGAAAGTTTACCTTTCGTCAGCCGTGTTATATTTTAAAAGCGTATATTGAGTACATTGCTGAATCGAGTATATTTATTTAACAACGAGCAAATCGTCGGAATTATTTGCCTGTTAATACATTTCATTGAGAGCGGGCGGATACTGAACTATCGTCACTGTTGTGCGATTGTCGATTGTTTTGCAGCCAACTCAACTGTTTAGTTGCACGACAAATCGAGTAATAAGCACGACTAAACAGTTCTGTGATAATTTAATCAAAGGTGGGCTCTAAAGCGATGCAAAGGCAATTAAGTGAATATATCTTGTTTTTAATTACATTGTTGATAATTTCGATGTCAGACCTAAGTCATACATAAAAATGTATTATTGTTTCTTCTTTGTAAAGAGAGACTATATTGTTTTATGCTTATTACTTAGTTTTACTTCTTCCGGATTGTATATTCTTTGAAAGCGAAAAATCAAACAATGTTATCATTAAAAAAGCGGTTTATTATGATAATACTATTTTTCACATATCAACATTAAGATTAAATTATCACTTATAAAAAATTATAAATAAATCATTTTACATCATATGTACAACATTCACTATGACCAAACGTAAAGGCGCTTATTAAACTGGGTCTGATCTCAACACGAGCGCCTCTCCCGCTTGCAGCGTCACCTCCTCGCCCGATATAGTATCCCTGTAACATACATACATATAATTATTATAAGCTGTATTTATTTCAAACTGTTACTATAAAAACAACAGTCTCTTAAAATGGCTACTGTCATCGCTCTTTATAACAATCAGCTTGGTTATATAGAATCGTTGTAAACGGACATTATAAACATACCCTTGTTTCCACAGATGGTCGACACAGTATGTACTATTTCATACATCTTTATCAGGCGTTATATTTGATTCACTCTCTTCTTACGCATATCCTGGTCTATTTCTATCTTAGATTGTAATCAAACTTACCCGACAAGTCTGTTCGAATGTATACTAGATACAGATACAGTCGCAGGAAGCTTGAGATGCGGTACACGGTCCAATCGCACTGTGTCAGCCGCGTCAGCCACGTTAAACAGCAAGACAAAAGTGTGGTGTGTAGGCAGGCTCCTCACTAAGTACAGCGTGCTGTCTGATAGGGCTCTAATGTCATACTCGCCGTACGCCAGGGTCTTCTCCTTGCGCAGAGCTGTCAGAGCTTGGTATACCTGGAAGGCAAGAAAAAATTCTTAGTACTAATTGCTAAAATAATGCTTCTTAGTCTTTGAGTAACATAATAATGTACCTTAAAATGACTTCGAGCATCTTCTTTTTGTTTCGCTAGATTGATTTCTTTGAAATCTTCGGCAACTGGTAGCCACGTTCTCTCCCCCGTTGAGAATCCGGCGTTCGTACCGTTGTTCCAGTGGTATGGGGTTCTAGCAGGATCTCTGGAGTAAAGATGGTAGGTGTCTTCGTCTCCTCTGTTGCAGGCCTCTACATCAACAGTGTCCTCCCAGCTGACGTAACCGTCCCTCATCCCTATCTCTTCGCCTTGATACGTAACTGCTACACCGGGGAGCAGCATATTGAGGGAATTCAGGCCGTCTACCATGTTGTGGCGGAATCGAGTCGGCATCCGGTTGTTATCGTGGTTGCCAAACTGGAAGCAACATTTTATATCTTTATTATGTGTATATAATAAACTTTAAATAGTATTTTTTTTTATGTTTTTGATCTTAACTTAGAGGAGCTAGTACACATAGTTGAAATCTATTTTGCGATTGATCTTCAACAACTAACAATTCCATGACGTATCGCCACTTTTCTTAATTATTCAAATAAAGAGTGTCCTTACCACCCAGTTTGGCACACCACCATAGGGCATGTATGTCAGCCATCTAAGAATGATATACACAAAGTCTCTGGCATTTGATCTCGCTGATAGGTCCGTGATGAAGTCGAAGTTGAAGGGAAAGTGCGCGCCGATAGCGCCCTCTTCGTTCCCGTAGTACAACATTGTCATTGTTACATTTGCGTAACCTTCTGAGAACAGCACTCTGAAATATTAGAATAAAGGGATTAAGTTTTAAATTATTACACGAAATGCAGAATAGATTCCTTGTAAAGTTTTTAAATGATATTGTTACATAGATGAAAAAAATTCTAGTGTTACAAAAATATTCCTTTCAACTAACCTAGTAACGCCAGGATTGTCCTCGAGATATTTGTCGATGAATTCTCTCCATTCATAAACGACATCATACAGCTCAATCAGGTCTTTGGTGTAGATTGGGATCGTGTAGCCCAACTGGTGCGGTTCGAAATGAATTATACCACTTAGTGGGTCATCGGGGTAGCTGCCGTTGTGGTCGGCGGGGTCGGCTTCTATAAGGTATGGCAGAGCATCGACCCTGAATCCGTCAGCGCCTTTGTCCAGCCAGAATTCCATGATGTTGAACATTTCTTGTCTGACCACAGGATTCCTAAAGTTGAAGTCGGCTTGTTGGATAGCAAACTGGTGGAGGTAGAACTGTTGACGTGCCTCGCTCCATTCCCATGCAGATCCTCCGAACTGGCTAACCTGTAAATAATACGAGAGAAATTGTTTAAATTTTTTGAAACGTAAGTGTTTATCTCTATAATTTACCGAAAAAGGTTCAAAGATAGCCTTCGGAGAACATAAAAGAGTTACAAACTCACCCAATTGGAAGGTGGGCGCATAACACTGGCATTGTTAGGATCCGGTCCCGGCGAGTCAGCCCATACGAAATAATCTTCATATCCAGGCACTTTCTTCTCAGAATTGATGAAATACTCTGATTCAGTGCTCGCATGATTGGGAACAAAATCCAACAATACTTTTATACCTGCAAAACAAATCACAAAATGTGTTTTTTTTAATTACGCGTAACTTTGGTCAATTCTAATATTTTTTGTACGATATCTAATAAACAGTTTTTATCTAACATTTTATCAAAACCTAATGTGTTACCGGTTGGCCACCAAGGATTGATTTGATATCTGTGGAAACAATTCCAAATGTAACAATCAGTTTTAAAGATTACACATTTGACATTAATAACATGAATTGTGTAAATTACTTGCCTAACTCATGAGCTTTTTTAAGTAATTCCTCAAAATCTTCCATGGTTCCATATTCGTAGTGGATTTTATAAAAATTGCTTATATCGTATCCGAAATCGACCATTGGCGATTCAAAGATCGGTGACATCCAAATAGCATCAACACCGGCGTCCACGAAATGTTCCAACTCACTGATAATTCCTGCAATTACCACAAATGTCTGCAATTTATGTTACAATTGACGATTACATTGCCAGGAAGTACACCTATACTTTATTGTAAATCATAATTACGTCGGGCTCTAATGGCGTAATCGCTGCGCAAAACGTCAGATAAGTATTATATCGTCAGCATACTGTTGGCCGTTTATTCATAACTTTTCTCGAAAAGAAAATCTGCTTTAAATGTCCTTAATCTGCAGGTCTTATAATGGAACTTGGTACACCATTTTTAACAATTCTACCAAGTTTATTTTTAATTCAAACAAGATAGTCCTTTAATTGATTTATCAAGTCTTATAGAAGTCAATCTAACCTTGCATTTACTTATCTCAATCAATCGTTGTTCGCATTAATGATGATTGCACATTTCTATACTATCATTGCTTGTAGGCTTATTTTCCATAATCATGTTTTTAATATCAACAATATTTATTATCTTTGATTCGAATGTTTTTCTTCTTTACTACAGAAAATATGCTTTAAATTTAGATTGTAAACTGGTTGTAGCAGTAATTATTAAACCTGTATTGAAATTGTTTTTTTTTTATATTTTGTGTCAAATTAGTCAATAACAGTATTTATGGGTTCACTGTTCTTTTATCTGATTACTTTGCAATGTTTTACGCCAGTAATCAGCTAATTCACATATCGAGCCACTGTCAGAATTTTGAAGAGATTACTTTTTAGGTTTTAAATATTAATCCAGGAGTACCATATCCGGCAGTATTGTAAATGAAATGTTTACCTTTCAAATCACCGATTCCATCTCCATCGCTGTCCTTAAAAGATCTTGGGTAGATTTGGTAAAGTACGCAGTGTTTCCACCAGTCGAGGGGCAGAAGTTCAGGCGGCGCCGGCGCAGTCGTCTGCGTAGACAGCACCGCGAATGTTATACCGACTGTAAACGAATTGTGCATACTTAGTAGAGACTTTTTAATATGTGATAGTAGGCAAGGGATGAAGATCTAAACTCCGAATGATTAGAAGCATATACTATTGTAACACGGGATTGCCTAGATAATAGATGTAGACAGAAGTATTATATATCCTATTAAATTCGTTTACAGAGGTAACTGCTAAAAATAATTTAACAATACGACGCGACGTTTAAACTATGACGTTTCGATGATAATGTCAACGCTCAAATATTTCAGCTCAAATAATTTTCTTGTTTTAAATTGTTCATTTACTACTGCGTATATTTGCTTCATTTACATGCGGATTGTAATCTTTACAAAAATTACATCTTACATTGTTAACATTAAGTCGTTATCTTATCAAAGCTGACTGCATGAGAAAATATAAAAATTAACAATAAATGTTGTGTATAAAAATAAAAAATAGCTTAATCAAGATTTGAACAGACAATCTAATAAGATATATATCTATTGCTTGTCAAATAAGTTCTTTTATTTTCATGAAAGATCCAGGAATAAACATTGTCCAGTAAGGTCACTGCTAGTTGAAGTGAACAATAGTTGAATACATACTTGCGATGCCTCCCACGACGGCCAGCGCGGCCACCGCGATCGCGGCCGCTTTCAGAGCTGTACCCATTGCGTCTGTGTCCCACAATGCGCGTGCGCACCTCTCCACCATTATTTATCATGGATTATGCGGACCGTAAAGATTGTACTATCATGATTGATGAATATTTTCGCACTAGTTGGGGTGCTATATAGATTCTAATGCCGATTGGTAATAGTGGACACCAGTGGACTTTACTTAGCTTAGAGTTCTAAGTTGTGTTGTATTTCTGTGCTTCTACTTTCGTTGGTTATGGAGTGCTTATTATTAGTTTTTAATCTCAAATATTCAATCTATAATAGAAATAGTATTGCAAGTTTTTTACCATATCATTGAAATATGTCTAGTTTCTTTCATAATAATTATTTGGATATTTAGTGTGCTAGTGTGATTACGTTTTGTTGCGAAATCGTACGTATTTTCTTTCTTCTTTCTAGTGAACGATTTTACATGTAAAATTTGTAATATAATTTATTTTAAAATAAACATTTCATGAAAAGTAATCCACACCACATTTCAAGTTAAATAAACATGTTACTTGATAGTACAATTTAATTTGCATACTCCCTCTACTAACAGATTACGCGATCTAAAAAATCGTATTTTTAACAAAAGAAAAACAACAGATTTTTTTCCTTTTTATCGACAAAACGTTTGTATCTAATTCGATCTACAATTATAATTACTTTTAGAAGGTTACGTTTTTATCTATTCTTGCGTTTAACCTCTGGTTATTTCACAGATAATTTTCATTAAATCGGATGTTAATATTTCTTGTTGGCTATTAAATATGTCTGTTTTGTGTTTCTTGTAAATGTATTTAAAGTACTTCCCCGACTGGACAGATAGTTTTCTTTTTAATACTTTATATCGAACGTACAATCAATTTTAATCCTGTTATCAACTCTACACGAGTTTTATAATCCAGTTCTTATCAACTAAATATCCGGTAAAATAATAAATTACATCAAATATGTTTAAAAATATTTTGTATTGAAATACAAAGTTTGAGTCCGGACTTTACTCGTTTTGCAGAGAATTAATTTTTAATTATAAGTCCTTGTAATAACGATCTTTAAGTTAAAATTATCCCGATTATAAATATTACTGCTCCAATACGAATGTTATATTATTGGATTCTGGATACGGTAGTATACGCTAAGTTATTTTTTAAGCTAATAATTTAAGTATCTATTGAAATTGAAAATAAACATATCAAAATACAATATCATGTTGTTTGCTGTCGACACTACCATACTCTACTTTTAATAGATGTATTATTTAACTACAAAAATAAGTGATGACGAGAACTTAATAGCGACTTATAGAATGAATAAAAAGTACCTATTTTTAAAATAAATTATACTTTCTTTATATGATAACGCAACACAACACACTTATCGATTTCTCTGTTTTCGATAAGTATGTTAATTGAAGATTTATTACTTTTTAAATAAAACATATTCAGTCACGAACAGAAATTAAAAACACTTCCAATACCTGTATATCAGCAAAGACACTTTTAAAACGAGTAGTAAATGTCCAACTTCTCGATAGCAGAATCTAACCCACACATCTTAATTAATGGCGTGTACTCACAACAGAGACGCTGCAACTCATCGCATTATTCAATCTAAATAGCAATGATTAATTGAGGAAGCGTCACGTCCACTCGTGTTTGGAACTCCGGTCGTGCGAAGCGCGTGTAAGAACCTAATTGATTTTTCGCGGATTTTTTCATAGGACGCATTAATCACACGCAGGGCCCGAGCTTAATTAATCACGCTGGTCTACGCGGGGCCTGTCGATACCAGGGCCTCGGGGTCCGCCGCCTCATTTACAATGAAATTAGGCGGTGCGCCGTCTAAACGAAATATTCGATCCAATGGCGTAGCGAGACGTGAGAAAAATATTATGAGGTCGTATGAAGCCATTATGGGTGTACATTTAGTGCTCGTAAGCCGGAGGATTTTGCTCGAGTGTGCGTACACGTAATCAGGCTTACGGTCCGTTAATCATGAACAGAATATAAAGTTAATATTGCTCTCAAAGCTGCTTATGTATTCTGTAATCATCTTAATTATGTGCTTAATATGTGACTCAAAGGCAGCTAACTCAATAGAAATGTTAAATATGTTACTAGCATACTTAACGCAATTATTTATGTTGTTGCTATTAGATTTGTAGCAATTCAGTTAGGAATTCGGTAATGTTTAGCAAGTTTTCGTCGATCTATATTAACATTATAAAGAGGAAAGATTTGTATTTTTGTATCTATTGAAGTAACTCAAAAACTACTGAACCGATTTCAAAAGTTCTTGCACCATTAAAAAGCTATGCCATCACTGAGTAATGCCATCTCTTTACTATTTTTTTAAAATTTCATGAGGGCGAAGTCGCGATCTAGTTATTCATAACTTCTTAGTTAAAAAGGTTTGTTATTTGATTCGTATAGACGACAAAATACATCTAGAATGTGTTTTTTTGTTCTAAAAAGGAATAACTGTCTTATAAATTGTAGATACGATACGGTTAAATGTAGATTCCATGTCAGTACACACCAATATTGTCGGCGTCTTTTCCCGTTTATCGTCAAATATGTTGTAAATGACTTGTGGATATTTGACAAAGACCAATTCGTGCTGTGTTTACTTTATTATTTAATTCCGATAGATTCGGTTTTTTATATCTTCTTGTTCGATTGATTGTAAATCATTTGCTAACGTATCCTAAAATTTTATAATTCAATGATAGGGAAAGTTGTCTATTGAATTTTCAAAGGAAAGTGGGTCGAGGGATTGGAAGGGTCTGTGAGGTTGGATTTTGACGGAAAATATTACGCTTCGGTCTCCGGTTTCAATCCTTTCTGACGCTTTGTCAAAGTAATGAATTATTCAACGGACGTGGAATATAGACATATCTCGTATAGATAGCTCAAAGAAGTAATTACTATCTGTACATATGTACATATTTAATTGGTATGACTTAGAGTATTCGGTTTATAACTATTTTTGTTCGTGTATACAACAAAGTATTTTATGCAGTTTAAATATTCCAAAGAAAAACAAAGTAAAATCCTCTTGTAAAGTTAACGTTAATTTTAAAACCGCAACTCCGCTCTGGGATAATTACAAAGCGTCTCGTTTTATTTGTAAACTGTTCGAGTTCAAGATATTTCCTAGTTAGTCTATGAATCGGAATTTAATTACGCTAAGACTAGACGAGAGAGCCGACTTGTGCGGGAACAAAATTAATTGCACGCGATGAGGTTTTTTTTTAATTTAGTTGTTTAACATGTCCTTTTTTGCATCTCGGCCGAGAGAGAATTTTAATTGCGCCCGTGGCTGTAGCTCTGCGGCTCCCGCGCCCCGCGCACCCCCGCCACGCACTCGTCTGGAGAATGTATAGGACTCTTCTGAATTTTGCGGAATTATGTAAATGAAATTGTAAAACAACCATAAATTAAAATGTTTATAAGTATATTACTTTTGGAGTGACCGAAACTTTTTTTTGGTATAAGTAACTGATAACAATCCGGGATATTCACCCAGCAATAGCTATAAAATTATGCCCAGAAAAAGCAGGTACTTATTTCTATGGTGTGCCATTTTCACATAGTCGAATTTCATCTTTTAAGCTTTTTCTAATGTCATAAAAATGTAACCACAATTTTTTCTCTAAATTCTCCGCAAAGTAACAAACAGTAGAAAAAGTTCCGAATAGAACATCAAAGTCATCTTTAACAAATCAAAACAAAACACAGAATAAAAAACGAACGATCAAGCGTAACGTCGGAATAACCGCGGGCGGGAAAAAATAAAAAAAAACTAAAGCGGATGTTTTCGGATATGCGGCTACGCGGCGCTACGAGCCGGCTACGGGCTACGGCTATTGCTACGCGGGGCGGGGTGAACGACCCAGTGGCGGAGCGGGTCGATACCCTCCCCGTGCCTCCCCCGAGATCGCGTAGGCTCGCCCTCTTCAAGGATGGCTCGTGGGTGTAACCGATCTCATGTAAATATTTCCTTTAAGCAGACAATGAACGCTTAAAATATTTTATTAGGTCTCTTTAGTACGTTCGCTTATAGGCACGGAAAAATATACTGACAATAGAAATTGTCTTTTAAAATACCTAAGGATATTAAAGTTACTATCTATTCATTAAAAAAAATAACTAACAATATAAAAATATGTATAATAATGGCCATCGCCGAGTGTGGCACTACAGGTCAGCAGACTGGGATAGGATGCGGTCTTTCTTTGCATCCTACCCATGGGGGCAAGTTTGCT